ATACCAAATGGTAGTATATTAAGATTATAAATTACATATCTTAAGATGAATTAATTATTTTTACTTTATGCATATTAATAAAAAATAAACATAGTAATTTTCAAAAAATTAAGATTAATTGATTGATTATGCAATTTAAAGAATATTTTTAGCGTTCAATTTTTTTTAAAGGCACAAATATAAAGACCGAGATTTTAAAACTTTTGTTATATTTTGAATTGAGATTTTATAAATATAGAGACCGAAATTTTAATTTTGTTCATTGTTTCTAAGAAAAAAATAAAAATAAAAACATACACACTTAATAAATTTTAGACGGATTTTTTAAATAACTAGTGTGTATCCCGTGCGCTGCACGGAGGGGTTTTTACTTAAAACCTTTTCTAAGACTTTATATTATACATAGTTATTTATGTTTAACATCTTATTATTATAAAAAAAGAAATACTAAATATGAAAAATTATATATTATTTATTTGAATATAATGAGTGTCCCAACCAAACTAATAACATCCAACATATGATATATGATAAAATTAATTATATGATCGTCATACTTTTTGAAAAAATATACATATATTTCTAATAAACATGTAAGATCCGCATTTAAATTTGTATTTGGATATGGGATGAAAAATGAATATGTACAAATAAAAAAGTACCAAGAACCTACATAAAATGAGATTCTTTATAAACTTTAAAATATTTTGTAGTTAAGCAAATATTAACAAACAAAATCATCAATTAAGTTGAACTTATCGAATATAAAATATAATTTATGATATCATTGACCATATTTACCCGTTGTATTTAAAGTTATCATTGACCATATTTTTATGAATTAGGGTTTACAAAATATCTTTTTCAAAATAACAATTTTTTTTAATTTGAATTTGACTTTTTCATCCAACCGCCATTTTCCACAAGAATAAAAATAGTATTTTGGAAAATTTTAGACGTGAAAATCAAATAAAATTAATTTAATAGTAATCGATTAATTTAATATTATTCAAAATTGTTTAATTCGGTCAACCCGATCTTAGTGCACGTTTCATTGAAACAATCGCTTACCAAAAAAAAAGGTAATCGCTTACAAAAAAAGGAAGTGAAATCTATCTATATAATATAAATCAGATTTGAAAAAAAAAAGGAAATGAAATTTCATAATTAATTAACTTAAATTGATGTTATTCGATTTATATCAACTCCCTTCCAAAAAAAAAAGGAAATATCCGATTCCTACCAAATCGATTAAAAAAAAAAAGGATTATAATATACGTCCAAATAAATTACAATTGAAATGTAGGCGGGATTATGAAAAAAAAATAAAAAAAACTTTACCGAATGTTTGAAAAAAAAAATCGGATTAAAAAAAATTAAAAGGAAAAAATTCAAAACGTGAAATTAAAATTAAAAACGTGAATTAAAATTAAAAAAATTAAAAATACAAAATTTACCAAATCTCAACCCATAAAAAAAAAGGAAAATCGAGTGAAATAAAACGTGAAAAAAAAAAGGAAAAGCGAGTGAATTAAAAATGTACCAAATCGGATTTTTAAAAAATGATAACAAATCTCATCATCCTAAAGAAAAGGAATTATAACAAATTTAACAAAAAAACAACCAAATCTTATCCTAAAATAAAACAATCCGATTTCCATAAATCACATCCAAAATCAAATTAAGTTAGGCGGGATAAATGAAAAATATTCAAAAAGAGTTTCCAAAACAGGTAATTTTCGAAAAATTTGAGAGGGAAAAAATGATGTTTAAGCGGGAAATGAAATATTTATTCAAACATTATTCAAACATTTTTCCTTCTCCGTATTATATAGTAATAGATAAGATGAGTCATAGCCCGAAATTTAAGGTAGCATTTAATGTTGTATGAATTTTAAAGAAAAAATAATAAAAATAATAAAACTTACTATTTATAGACTGCATTAAATTCTGACCTTTTTTTTGCTACTATTTTTGGTAAATGTTAATTCTTATTATATATATATATATATATATATAGATGATTAGTAATTTGTTTATTGGTTGTTTTGATTATTACATTCAATTAATTAAAAAAATCTTTGAAGTTTATTATTATGTAAGTAACATCTATCTTATATTTTTTTTTAAATGTATAGGGTAAATGATTTCCTAAAATTATAACACTAACAATATTTGCAAGATTACTCGAATTGGATTACTAAAAATTATTTATCAATATACAAATTACCATTATAACCATTTATCTTAGGTTATATATACGACCCTATTGTATCTTATTTTCATTTATGAAATAGGAATATAGTTTTATTTTAATATATTTTATTCATCACAACAACATTCATTTATGATACATAAAAACTTATAAAATAATGTTTAGAAAATTGTTAATTAATATACAAAATATGTGAGTGTTATGTACACCCCTATGTACTTAAAAACTTATTCATCCACTTTATTTTTTATTTTTGATCGGTCACACTAAATGTGAGTGTTATGTACACATCTATGTACAATATTATGTACTTATAACATTTCTCACAAAATATATTGGTCATGTACTGAAACGTGTTGGTATTCGCATGATCTGGTAGATTGTAGAATTTATCAGTTAATTTATAAACATACATAAAAACATTTAGATTATTAATGTATTACTTAAACAAAAATTAAGAATAATTTATAAGTCTTACATTTTTTTAATATTGATAGATTATCTTTTTGTTACAAATATTTACTATATGAAATACAAACTATTTGTATTTAAAAATAACCATATTTATGAAAAAAGAAAAAAAAAATGGTCATTGTCCATATTTGTTGGGTTATTTTCATGCCATTTATAGAATAGTCAAAGAGAATGATACAACTTGGTCCCATTGATTATGTTATGAGTCAACTGAGCCGAATCAAATTGAGTATTGAAACTATATATAAATTTTAATATAGTCTAAATAATCAAATGAAGAATGCTTTTGTGAGAATATGTTAAAATATGTATAAATTATATATTATTTTATTAATATTATAAATTGAATAAAATATTAATGTATTATAATTTTTTTAATAGTGATCATATTAATACCCTCTTTATTTTGTATCTTAAAAATATGTTAAGTTTAAAAAATTAAATGTACATGCATATATGTCAACTTTTAAGATACATGACAAAAAATATTGACTTTGAGCTGCAATACGTAAAAAAAATATTTATTTTTTATTATCTCTTAAAAAATATTTTTATTTTCAATAAGACTTTCACAGTATATATTTGTGTAAATTAATCATATTAAGACTTACTTGTAAACTATTGTTTTTTAATTTATCTGTATTCAAATTCATAAGAATTAATATTAACTAGTACAATACCCGTGTATTACACGGGTGTTGAATTAGAAAGCTTTTACTAAAAATATTCATTTTTTTATTTTTTAAAAACTTAAATAATTTAATTTTATATAAAACATTACTTTGAGTTTTAATTAAATTTTCAAATTATATTTTTTAATCATAATAATTAAACACCCGTATATTAAATGAATATGTCAACCCGTGTTGAATTTTTTACTTATATCATATAAAAATATCGATATTATTTACTATTACATAAGTACAATATATATCTTAAATAAATAGAAATAATATGGTGATATGTATATGCATAAGTATAGAATATGTTTATTTAATATTAAGCAAAATAGATTTATTTTTTTTACCTAAGTAGATGTCTAATACATCAAGTGTCGTATCAGTCGTGCTTCACAATTTTTAACTTTATATGTAATTTTAAAATTTATATTAATAATTATTTATTTTTATTACATTGACAACATACTAATTAGATTTGAAATAAATATTATTTTTAAAAGAATACATACCAATTTCTATTACTTTATAATATAATTTATAGTTTTATTTGATATAATTTAATTTAGTTTGAAAAATAAATTTAAATTTTATTTTTAAGAATATTATTACTATTTTGTATTATATATATATATAAATAGTAAAATACAAACGGATTTCATAATATTAATTCAAATGCAACACACTAATTATGATATTTTTTTCTTGACAATATTAACCATATTTAATAGATGTTATGGGTAACAATGAAGATGAGATATGAAAAGACACTATGTATTAAATAGAGGGTTAAAAAATAGAAAAATATGAACAAAATATCTAAAATAACATTTATTTTATCAATGTTCAATTAAGCCAAAGTGACAAATAGTAAAAATAGAAGGGAGTATATATTATATATTTTAGTATGACACATGTTACTTGTGCGACTTATATCTGTTATATTATAATAAATTTTCTACCTTATAACATATAACTACATTAAACATAAATATATTAATTGATAAATAATTTTATTTTCCAATTAATTTTAATAAATATTATTATTATTATTATAATAAATATAATTTATTTATTTTATATATACAATATGGATGTCAAATTGAAGCTAATCAAATGATGATTAATTTGATATATTATATATGCAAAACCGATAAAAAATACAAAAGTTATCAACTTTTAAAATATATTTGCAATTCGTTGGTTATAATATGAAATGATATTAAAATAAAATTAATACAAATATTAATTTATATCCAAGTCTAGCTCCAAAGCATAATTTTTTTCCAAATAAAATTTCGAAGCATGAGAGTTTGCCACGTAGGCTCAGCGCTGAAATTATATATAGAGGGGATTTTTTATTTTTAAAATTAATTATTCAAGTATTTGTCCTGGGCCTGGGCTGATGGGATGACAAAGAAAAAGGCTTGGATGGTAGTGGACTGGAGGGATTGGGTTGGGCCAAAGGGAAAGAGGAAAGAGGTGGCTCAAGTGGTCCAAAAGTTGACCTCAGCCCCTCAAACCCTACCACGCACCATATAACAGAGAGTTGGGGGTGTTTGAGAGGGAGGCTCCAGACGGCGAAAATTCTTTGGAAACTTGACCGGACGAATAAGTTCCAAGAATAGGGCCAAATGAACGGCATCCGCGCTAACATCATCCTGCGCGTGTGTTTCCGGCTTGAAACCGGCCGATCTGGCCGCATAAACGGCAGCCGCAAGAGCATCCATCTGCGCGTGTGTTGCCGGCTCGAAACCGGTCGAGGCTCTGGCCGCGTGAACGGCAGCCGCACGAGCATCAATCTCCCGCTACGAGGCCGGTAAACGGCGAGCGAGGCGGCGCAGAACGCGATGCTGCTGCAGGTCGGCTCCAGCGAAGTTTCGTCTCACCTTGGCGCCTTGGGCGGCAGGCTCGGAGTCGGATTCGGCGGCGGATACGGCATTGGGTGCGGAGGCGGGGGGTTCCCCCTTGGTTTGAGCTTCGAGCAAGGGAAAGCCGGCTTTGGAGCGGGAAGTGGTTCGGCGAGTTCGTTGGTTCTCGCGCCTCGTCTTCTCTCAAATCGGTAACAGTTTTGTTTTTCAAAAATTTTTGAACTCGGCGATGTTTAATCAATTAGGTCAATTAGGGTTGATTTGATTGCTTTCCCCCTGAGTTGACATTGCTGCATGGGATATACGATGTATAACATTTTAAGTTAGGGTTTGTTGTGTGATGTTTGGTGTTAGGGTTTGTTTGAAATGACAGTGGTAAAGAAACTCCATAAGTTTAATGGGTGATAACCAATTGTATCAATTGTTTGCAAAAAGATAGCTAAAAATATGATAAAGTGGGGTTTCAGTTATTATTGGCTGTATTTGATTCACGAGATTGGTACTGCAAAATGCTAACAATAGTTATGGGGTTGGCTTGGTGCAAACTGGGGCTGTGGTTAGGGGTATTTAGACATACATCAGGAAATTAACCTGAACCGACTTTCAAATATCACCATTATGAGGTTTGAAAATGTTTTAAAGAAATTAAAAAGGCTCGAAACCGTCCAGTTTGAACAACTGTGTCACTTTACCTGAAACTTTATTTTCGAAGTGCAAATGTTAACATTTGAAATGTCTTTGTCGAAGGAAAATTACACCACTTTGATCGTACACTTCTCTCATGTTTACTTGAATGCTCCTTCCATTCTTTTCCTTTGATACATAAAAGAAACATATTCTCTTCCAACAATTGGTGAACAACGAATTAGATAGTCCCTCAAACAGATGTGTCTTCACTTGTGTAGATACTGGGAATGGCCAATGTGAAAGAAGGTGTGGCGTTGAGTACTCAGTTTTGGACCAAATCGGCTCGTGTCCCATTCCTCATCCCCCACAATCCCCCACGGATGTTATGCCACTTGCCGGATGAATGAGTCATGCTCGAGAACATGGTCTTGTCTGGTAACTGTGCTTTTTAGAGGGAATAACCGATCATTTGGACAAAGTATGGTTTCCTTCTCTCTTTCTATCTCTCTTCAGTTGTGTATATATAGCACGATGAGATGTCTTGATTTTTAACCTGATATTTGATAGGTGTGGCTGCAAACCCGTTTTCAACACCATTAAATATTAATGCTTCAAATGTATTGCACAACTTAGCGGATGATGTCTTGGTATTTCTAAAACTTATTTTTGTGTAAAATTTAAATGTAAGTTGCATTCAGGCACTGCGTTTATGGCGTAATAGTACTTCAGAGATAAATGATGAGCTATAAAATGGTTACGACAGAGGGAATTCAGGAGGGCGGATTAATGAGATTGTAGCAGGTACAAGAGTATGGTTGTGCAATAAAGGCTGTTTTAGTGTGAATCATCTATCTAATTCATTGTTTGTTTGGTTTTGCAGCCTATGATTTTATGAATTCAAATGAGAATCTACTCAATGTTACTGTATGGTACACTTCTACATACAAGAATGACACAGACAATCTGCCTATTGCCTTGACACGAGTGCCTTGGTGAATTTGGTACCTAAATCCTTAGTCCTCTTGCTGCTTTCATATGCTGACGCTGTGCTCAATTCGTAATTTGTTTTCTATTCAATCTTTCAAAATTGGAGTCATTTATTTAGTATTCATATTCGAGTCATCATCCGTATACTACTTTGGCAGAGTCACTGACCAATAGTCTTATCCTCGTGACGCTGTTTAAAACGTGAATCATTTCTCTAGATCCTGATTTCATTATGAGAGTTATTTTGCATATTATCTTTGTGATTTGAAGTTTACTCTTTTTCTCCCTCTCTCTCTCTCTACCTTTTAACATAAATTTCAAGGATTTTTAAATTTTCAGTTTTTTTTTTTTTTTTTT